AGAAAAAGATTATCTGTGCTGATTAAATAAAAGCAGTTTTGTTTTGAAGGCGTTGAAATTTACAAGCCATTTCTTGCCCCAGTTAAACACTTGACAGGAGGTCCTTTTCAAGAAGTGTTGCCATGTTAAGTTTGTCGGATCTGATTTGCTACTACAATTTCCCCTCTTCAAGCAACAAAGCACCAGTGCAACTCTTATGTATTGATATGTCATTTTGCCAGATGAACGGCTGGCTAGGTTTAGATAAAAGATCTCTCATCTAACAGATAACATTTTCTGTTGTTTATTAATAAAAACTAGAATAAGAAATTAAATTCCCGTCAAAATTTATGGCGGTACAGGTACTAATTTTGCAGAGTAAACATTTAGCTTTTTTAATAATGTAGCCAGATGAAATCGTTTTACAGCGGGAAGAGTGTCAGTGTACTGAAAGAGGATCGAACTCTCTACGCTAGAGAACTGGTCTGACCAGTTGATCTGGTTACTAATTGACCTGAAAAATGAATTTTTGACCGCAACTAATTTTAGGTATAATAAGGAATCCAGCAGTGATATTTTCATTTCAAACTGCGTAACTTCACATCTTGACCGTAGCGGTACAATAACATGACTAAACAACTAATCAAACTTGGCTCTGACTGCGCGCGCGCGCACACACACACACACACACACACACACACATATATATATATGTATGTATTTCTATCTATTTCTTTATATACGGCAGACAAGGAAGATTTAATTAATTTTTTATTAATTTTTCCAGCACCGTTTTGTCGATGTAAGGGAATTCAGTAATATTTCCATAATTTTTATTGTGCCAACCGCATTTGGCCATTTCTTTAACCATTTTTTAAAGGGCGTTTTGTATTGGGTGTCGTTAGTTTTTCTTCGTCCTCACATCCCTTACTCCTACAAAATGGAAAAACGCAAAGATGCTGAAAGAAATTTATAAAAATTAATTGAATCTTCCTTGTCTGCCGTATTTAACCAAATATGTTTGAAAGAAAGTCTGGTGTCCAAATATACATTAATATATATATATATAATATAATATAATATAATATAAACCTTTACGTAGTTACTTTTACTCGTTTTTAAGGGTTTTTTTTTTCTTTGGACTCTGAGCTTGAATTCTGGAGGATTGTTTTCGCCTCAGTTTCATATTCTTAGTTCTTTATTTTATTATTCCTCATTTTTCCTTAGGTACTGGTTTGTTCTACTACAAGCCGAAATACCCAAGGTTTTTCCAGGCGAGTACCACTATATATATATATATATATATATTGGTAACCGACGGAAAAAACTATAATATCAGTAAAAGATTTTAAAAACAGACATAACAAAAAAAAACTCTTAACAAGCTTTTAAAATAAATGTGACAACCTATATTTAGTAAAAGCGTATCAAAGATTCCATTAACTTCCGACACAGATTTATTAATGGTTCAAACAACATGAAAAATACTATGGTATTGGTTCTCAATAATTTAAAACTAAGAACAAACTTTTGATAACTCTGATATACTTGTGATAACCGACATTTTCAAAATATTACGGACTAACATTTCCAGTTCCAACGGTTAGCGAGAAAATTCTAATATTTCCACCTTTAATAATTCTTTCTTTTACATTTAACCAGAAAATTCTATTTCCAGTCCTACATTTTACGAGAAAATTCTAATATTTTCATCTCTCGCTTTTAACCAGAAAACTAGTTCGTTGAAATGTCATAATATCCTTTATAAAGGAGCAAATGATAGGCATAAATGTAAAGGCCCGTAACTCTGCACGATTTTCCAGTCATCCTGCAATAGCTTCGATAATTACAATATTCTATCATCTTATTTGAGCGAACCACGCAGCCGATACTCTATGATTGCATTGAATTTTGAAGGTGATTTGTTCTTTAATGATTTCTTGAGTGAAATGAGAAGTGAAAAGCACATCGTAAATCATTCACAAAAACGTAAAGCAATTGGAATATTTTATGACAGTAATTTCATCTTTATTCAAGTGGATTTCCACATGAGAAAATATACATAATCGTACAGTTGCAGCTACTACTGGGGGTGGGGGCTACTGTAGCACGATAGTTAGAGAGATCTTTTTGCAGTCCATATTCTATATATATATATATAATATATACATATCTATCTATACTGAGTGCCACGTTTCTGTACCAGGTTAAGATATGAATAACTAGATAGGTAATGTAGCGGTTAACGGCGCTGAAAGAGAAATCAGCGAGCCATTGCATTCACATTCTCCGAAATACCATTGGGAAAATGAATCATTGTGTATGAATCGATGTCTCCCCCTTCTGCCCAGCTATGGATTAAATAACAGAACAGACGAGGCTCCCTGGCCATAGTTGTTGACCTCTTATTGAGAAGAACAAATCGAATATGTAGCTCTGGGGTGGTGTATACTATAGAACAACAGAAAAGATTATAGAGTTTATAGTTAAGTGTGGTACGGAGTTGTAGACACTGTGATCTCAACTGAGGTTAGATAATAATAATGACAGGGATAAAAAATAAGTCTTCTACTTCTATATTCATTGTTCCTTCATAAACTGAGCGATCATAGCTCTCTACAGCTTCCTGTTTGCATTGCGCTAAGCAACATTTAATTCTTTACCATCCTTCATTGTCCTGTATGTTTGGGATTAGTTGAAACAGTATCATGTTTATTAGAACATAATACTGCTTCAACTATTTGATTACTGCTTACATAATATTGCTTCAATATATTCTAATAAACATGATACTACTTCAACTAATCCCAAACATATTAATCTCCTATATCGTAATCAAATAGTTGAGGCAGTATTATGTTCTAATAAACATAATACTGCTTCAACTGATCTCAAACATATTAATCTCCTATATCGTAATCAAATGCATACTAATTATAAACACTAAATACTAAAAAAACTGATAAATACTAATATATCTGCAACAGATCTTAGCAAAAAATTAAGTTAATCATATACTACACTAAATCTAGTATATCCAACTCAATCATTCGCAATGATTCTCCACCCCCACCCCGTTAGTGATTTGCAAAAACTAACATAGTTTACAAATTTAAGTGATTGTATAATATTTATGTTGGTCACACCACAAACTCGCTTTCACGACGCTTGACTCTACATTTGAATGATAATTCTAACATTTTTAGGCATTTAAAACAACATGCCTGGCCGCATACACAATTCCGGAAAATCCTTGCTGAAAACACAACTATACTTAAACATGAAAACAATAAAGAAAACTAAAAATTCTTGAAGCTATATACATAAAATAGTTGAAACCTAACCTGAACAAAATAAACTATGAAAACTCCACAAATACACTTAAATGCCTATAACTGATAATAGAAGCCATTGGTTTATACCAACGACTTCCCAAACTTAACACCTCGTTTTCACTCTCGTGTGGCCATGTGTGATGTCATGGGCCGCGGTGCGATTTTCGCTTACAGTGGGTCGTATGCACGAGTTTGTCGTTGCCTGGAAATCTTCGATGCAAACAGACTATAATTGTTGGTATGTCCGTGTATTGTTTAATTTATTGTAATGTAATTGTCATCTCTGATGATGGCTTATGTAACATGTATCAATATGGTGATTTTCTTTCGTCTTTCAATAATAATGTTATTAAGCATATCAGACGATATGAAAGGAATTTGCTTAAAATAAATAGACAAAACTTGTCTATATTATTTAATGAAAAAATTATGCCTAAATACACACACACACACACACACACACACTATATATATATATATATATATATATATATATACTTTAAAAATCCAATACTTTTTATCAAAAGTAATATGTGCCAAAAAACGGATTCAATTTTAAAAAGCACTCAATACAATTACCAAAAAACAAAAATGTAGGCCAATTTAAGACATAAAATAATTGGAACACCAACATTTCTGCAACCCTGGTTTCTACCAATCAGGTATCTTCGGGCAGTAAATAGTTTTAATGCGTGAAGATAACTAATTGGTAGAAAACATTGTAGCAGAACGGTTGGTATTCCAATTATTTTACTTCTCATATATATATATATATATATATATATATATATATATATATATATATATATAACTCAGTTATTAGATAAATTTATAAAATTTATTTTGATTCGTTATAGAAGGATAATAACTGACTGGGATAGATAGATAGATAGATAGATAGATAGATAGATAGATAGATAGATAGATAGATTTGACCAGAATGAGATAGATAGATAGATAGATAGATAGATAGATAGATAGATAGATTTAACCAGAATGAGATAGATAGATTTGACCAGAATGAGATAGATAGCTAGATAGCTAGCTATCTAGCTAGCTAGCTAGCTAGATAGATAGCTAGATAGATAGATTTGACCAGAATGAGATAGATTTGACCAAAATGAGATAGATAGATAGATAGATAGATAGATAGATAGATAGATAGATAGATAGGAACAAATGGAAAAAAATCAGTTTTCAAGCATAGCTTCAAAGTGTTTTACGTTGAACTAATTTTCTTATATGTTCTCTTTGAACGTTGTCTATAATAAAGTATGATTTGGTCGTAGATTTGATGTTGTTCTCCATATATAAACTTCGATCCCTGTACCATTTTTAAGTTTAGTTTTGAGACAACCCATTCGGGTATAAGGGGAGATAAGCAAAAAGAGAAAAGAGAGAGAAGGAGAGACAGAAAACAATAACTTAAAAAGAGAGGAAGTGAATGAGCGAGAGAGATGTTTTGCTACTGCAGTGAGTAGGTTATCTTTTGAAACCCCACACATTTTTAAATCATTTCACCTCAATCAAGGCGATAATACCACTAAGACGCAAGGAGAGAGGACACTAAAAAAAAGAGGGTCCAGGAAGACAGCAGATGGTGTTTGACGATGCATTTGAATTTTTCAAGATTCTAGATGGCAGAGAAGCAAGAAAACCCAAGAGTTCCAGAAGTGAGAAGATTTTTTCTTAAGCGTTTCACCCCAAGCAAGGCGGGAAGCCACTAGCACTCAAGGGGTTACAAAAAGTTATAGCGAGAGCAAAGAGGAGTGATAGAGAAAAGGATGAAGAGAAGGATAGGGGATAGGTCAAGGCATCTGGAGACGTCGATTGACATTACATTTGAATAACCGGAGATTATAGCTATCAGGAAAACGGGAAAACGGGAGGGAGTTCCACAGGTGGGAAGTGCGAGACATGAAGCTATTGGAGTAGAAGAGACGGCTACATTTAACAGTTTCGACAGTGAAAGGGTGTGAGCGAGATTCTAGCCTAGTAGAACTCTTAAATTCATGAAGTCTGGGAACCAGCAGAAGTAGCTCATCGGAGCAGTTACCATGAAAAAGACAGAGGGAGGCAACGGCACGTCTGTGAGAGAGCGACTGCAGACGAGATGCCAGATCAGGGTCAATTACGTTGCATATCCGTCTCTGGATTTTATCAAGAACATTGAGTCAAACAGAAGGGGCTCCAGACCATATATGGCAGCAATACTCCATGCAAGGGCGAATGGTTTATTTGTAGATTTGAAGGCGCGAGAAAAGAAACTATTAGAATTGATCTTACGGTTACATTTAGTTATTTCAACAGTAAAACGGTTGAACAATTGTCATGAAAATATTTATAGAAAAGACAGAGGGAAGCCACGTCACGTCGGTGATAAAGTGATTGAAGTCGAGATGCCAGGTCAGAATCGATGACATGACAGACCCTTCTCTGGATTTTCTCAAGAATCTCAAGATATATAGTCGGAATATCACACCAGATATGACAACGATATTCAATGCACACAAGAATTTCTAAATGTGCAAGATGGATTCCAAAGAGATGAATTGTCTGGCATGTCACAGTGAACCAACTTTCTTAGCAGCAGATCGAGTAATTGATTTGGTATAATCGATCCTCTTCATGCCATTCAAAAACATGAGACGACGAATGCCCAATGCGTTGTCCTCTCATGCTAATGGAGGGCAAAACCAGATTTAGTTAAACAATTAATTTACTGTGTTACGGCAGTGTGTGTGTGTGTGAGAGAGAGTAGATAGGGAGAGAGAGAGAGAGAGAGAGAGCGTCTGACTTCTTAGTAATGGAACAGTTGTTATAACAAACTAATCAGCCTATCATTGAAAGAGTGAATTCGTTCATTGCTGACTCTCGTAACCCTGTGCCAGGTAAGGATACATTTACTGAATATACTGTTTTATTTTCTACTTTCCTTCATGTCTATATATCAGCAAAATATTCATTGGCTAATTATTGTATATATTTGCGCCTGTTTTTTTCTGGTAGCAAAGACCATCCTTTTACTTGAACCGTATCATTGTTTCGTTCACAAGCGACTTGAGAATCGAAAAGTAAATATTCATGAGTCCTGAATATTTATCTATTGATCGATTGTTTTTGTTTTACAGATTATCAACCCTTTGTGGGTTTCTGCCTATGTTTCTGAGGTGAGGTATTATCTACACTATTTACATTATTCGGACTATTGTCCTCATTTTTGTTGCCATATTTATTACAACGTTTCGGCCGTACGCTCCGGCCTTCTTCAGGTGGTTGGAATGTCGAACTGAACCCTTTATTTCGCTCACTGGGGTAGACTGTTCTAGTTCCACGTGCCATGTCTAATGGATGTCAGTTATCAATTATCTCCTGTTAATTCACCTCTCCAAGTTCTCCACTGCCTTAACTGGGTATTGAACTCATACTCTTTGGGACCTGTCACTGGATCTAACTAACTGTGCCATGTGTCCTTGAGGACATCTGTGTATGAATTTCTGGGTATTATAAACCTAATGTCTTCAGCAAATATTTTTTTTACCATTGCTCATATTGCAATTTTTGCTATTATCATTGCATATTTTTACCAGAGCTCATATTGCAATTTTTGTTGATATTATCGCTTTTCTCTGGCACTCCTTATTACTTTGTGGGTTATTTAAAGCTGATACATATTTCGAATACCCAATATTCCCACACGGTACCTTAAGTACTGACCGGGCTAGACGCAATCTTTACTAAACTTCACGTAATCTGGTAAAAGATATTAGGGAGGTACCAACTGAGTGTGAAACTCATGGGTGAATAGTTTGCAGGATGAGCATGTTAATCAATGACAGTCTTCCAAAAATAAGGTACGCAAGTTCGAATCTCGAATGTTTTCCTAACATGGTTAGAAGTTTAAACTCCTAACCATGTTGCTAACTCAACGGCCTTCAATGACTTGAGAGATTTGTAAAAAAAAAAAAAAGCGAACCAAAAAAAAAGGAAGAAAAATTCATTCTTAAAAAATGGACAATGAAATCATTGAACTACAAACTCAACGAAATGTATTAATTAAATATTGATTAGTGAAAAAATAGCTATGCCGGTAATCGAATATTGATTACCTAGAATTATTGTGCCACTAGCATGTTTTTTTTTTTTTTTTTTTTTTAAATTTCCAATGAGAAAAACGACGAAGTATGATTTCCAGAATTACTTTCAATCTTCTTTTTTTTTTAAAGTTGTCCCATCAAAAATAAGAATCTCAAGGTATGTTTTCCGGAGTTACATTTATTTATTTTTTTAATTAGTTGAACCACAAAGTTCATATTACACTTTAGATACAAGCAAATTACCAGATATTTCTGGCTAAGATATTTTTTCTCCGTTCAATTTATCTCTTGATTAATTGGAAAACTTTCACATACTCCAAGCCGACCATCGTTCGCTCACACCAATACTCTCAGGGATTGAGGTACGTGTATAAAAATGGCTTTGGAATGAGTTGGTTTTGTCGAAAGGATTATGATTTTTTGTTTTATAGGATTTGTGGGTCTCAAATATTTGTATAGAGACTACTGCAGAAGTGTGTTTGCACCGGCAGAATAAAGCTTGTCTTTTGGCCTGAGTCTGCGCATGGTCGTGTGAGCGTACGTCGATTTGCGTTTGCGTCCAATTCAGTTTGCCTGATAAAAAACGGCTAGTGGTCGGATCGAAATTGTCTTCTGGTAAAGAAAGAGAAAGACACACAGAGAGAGAGAGAGAGGGGGGGGGAGAGAAAAAGAGGAGATGTTAAGTAGAAAAAAAAGATCTAAATATTTAAACCCAAGTGCGACACTTGTGTATTTCCGGAAACAACTAAAAGTTTTAATACGTCGACCCCACGCCAAAAAAAAAAAAAAAAAAAAAACAACAAAAAAACAAAAAACAATAAAAACAAAAAAAATAAAATAAATACAACCTGAGTCAATGGAATCAGTCCTAAATTATCCTATGTTTTACAAGCCATCGTCTCTACAGCTTTTCCCGTGGGTCCCATTCAACATCACTTGATCAATTACTATTTGTGAACAAGATTCGGGCGGTCGTAAATCTTGCACACCAATTTTGATCAGTAAAAATACCCACAAATTATTCTGTGACTTACAAGCATAAAATAACGCATACATTTTAACCAACCACTTAAAATAAGTCTCGGATACTAATGATATAATCTACATAGTTACAATTTATATATATACTGTGTTTTACGACGCGTTATTTATCTAGATATTTAACATTGAATCGGAATATTGTAATGACAAAAACTTGTTATAGTATGATGAAATTTTAAACTATTGTACAGGGATGCCGAGAGTCTGTCATAAAATTATCAAATGTATTTTGATCTGATTTTGATTCACTCAACGTTGGCAACACTAACCTGCGCAATCACTGAAATTTTCGTATTGATCTGCGCAATGTAACAAACTGGCGCCATATTTGTTATCAGCGCGGTGATTTGACCGTGCCAAATTATTAGAAAGGTTTAGTAAAATTCCCAGAATTGAGCAAACAAAACGTTTATTAATGTTGCACGTGAATGTTTATAATCAAAATAAGCTAATAAATAAGATAATCAAACAAATAACAGATACAAACAAATGCACAGTTTTAAACAAATTAATAGGGAATGTGATTACCCTGTTTTGAAATTACTTGAAGAAGTCGACGATCCATAAAATTTGTTAATTGTAGGATGTCATCTGCTGTAATGCCGCGAGATATGTCAAGAATTGCTTCCCTCAACTTCCCGTTGGCATACAGTCTTCGCTTCATGATGCTCCAATGGTTTTCGATTGGGTTCAAATCCGGAGAATTTGCTGGCCACTTCATTTTTCGAGGTCCATCGAAGCCTATCTGTTTCAAATATTCAGTAGTCTTGTGAGCAGCGTGTGAGGGAGCATTATCTTGCATAAAAAACAATGGCCCTTCTGAAGGCAACTCTTTGCCTTTTCATCCACGGTTCAAGATGCTCCTTCATAAACGCTATGTATGCATCAGCAGTCATTTTGAAGCCATCTGGTACTCTCCATGGACCCACTAATGTGTTTCCAATAATACCACCCCAGATCATTATGTCTCCATCGCCTTGTTGGTGTCTCAAACGCTGATGGCGATTCTGTCCGTTCATTACTCAACCTTTGCACCATCTATCTGGCCCATCAAGTGTTGCTCGAGTTTCGTCTGTGCACAAAACTTTAGAGAAGTCAATCTTCATATTGTCCTCAACCCATTTCAATCGATTTTGAATGTGATTTTTCGTCAACGGAGGCTTCGATACAGGTTTGACTGTTGTTGCTATTTCTGTCAGATACTGACACCGAGTACTTTTAGACACAGTAGGATCCCCAATGCGACTGAAAAGCTCTTGACTGGTAAGTCCAGGGTTCTTCGTGGCTTCTCGTTTAAGTCGGGACATGAGACAACGTGAAATAACCCTCGACTCGCCTTTATCTGCCCTTTTGCGTACTTGTGTAGGGTCGGCAGTGAACTTTTTCACTGTTTGATGACACCTCCCTGTCATTTTAGAAATTTCTAGGGTAGATTTACCTTTTGAGAGTTCTAAGGTGATAGTTTTCTTTTCAACATCACTTGAACTACTTTTACAGCACATCTATTCATTAAATTCTTACACTTTTCTAATAATTTGGCACGCTCAAATCTACGTGCTGATAACAAATATGGTGCCAGTTTGTTTACATTGCGCAAATCAGTATGAAAATTTCAGTGATTGCGTAGGTCAGTGTTGCTAACATTGTGTGAAAAAAGTTATCTCGATAATAATTTGACACGCAGTGTAGTTTGAAATAAAAATGCTTTTTTATAAACTCCTTACAACGTGTCAGTAACGTTACCTTATAACATTGCAAATACGTTACCTTATAACGTTACATTAACAGAAAATAATCAGATATTCCAGTAATATATCCGGACGTTCAATCATCATCTAAATTAGGGATTCACTACTTTTAAAAAATACGAAAAGAAACTTTATGCCTTTCATGCATATGGTTAAGTGAAGAAAATTTATTCTGATTCTTTAATTGATCAGTTTGGAATTTTTCAACTATAGCGTTTCATAACGCTATCATTAGACACCGTTGGGAATGAGCGGCCATGTTGTGCTTAGAAAAATATTTGATTGCAATATTACAGTAACGGCACCATTGTGTGTCAATTCCTCAAACATAAGACAATGTTTCTACAAAGTTACAAGAATGGCTCCGTTTTAGCTGGGTCAATCCACCACTGAATTAAGTTCAAAGACAAGGAAGGGGATTATGTTGAAATATTAATATTTGTTGTGTAAAATACATTGTTTCTGTTATTAACAGAATTATTGCGGAATTATTGGTGCAACTGAATAACGTCAAGAAACCTGAGATATTTTGTTGACACTGAAATGAAGTTTAACCTTGATAATTAAATAGATATCAAAATGTTTCAATTTAAAATTCCTAAGTGTTTGCAAAAATTCCAACCAATCATTTTTTTTAAATAATTTTAGCTCTTTCAATCGTATTTGGTTGCATCCAGAACGCATCCAAAATTTTTGGGTGTTCTGCTTGTTGAAGGTCTTCCACAAACTTCGGTCGCTTTCAACGGATTCCGAACCACCATTGAAGCATCTGTACGAAAATTCTACCTGAGCTTCCTTCATTGCGTCATCTCCGAAAGTCTTCATTATAATAGTTTCCGCGTACAAATATTCAAGTTTCAAGCAACAGTTACTGTATAGTCCTTGTGCATGCGACAGTTACACAGTACACATGTTCACTCAATAGCCTTTTTACGGCCAACTGAATGAATTGTTTACGCATGTGCAGTATAGTTCCCTTTTATTGGTTTCCGCTTTACATCAAGAGCCCGAAAAGTGATTCTTGATATGTTAAAATGGGCTGTGTTTTTTCATGCATATGTATATATACATACATATAAACTCTCAAACAAGATTAACCAATGACTTGGTTGATTGCCAGGAAATATGTTGGATCCTTCATCGCATTTATTGGGGCAAAGCGGAGTAATTTGGCGTTGCTCCGTTCCTCTCCAAGTAAAATGCGATAGGTTGTACTGGATTATTTGGAACTAGCAACGGAATAATCATTAACTTTTGCTTGAGGGAGAAAAAGGATTTCCCAAGAGAATTTCCAACACAAGACTGCAATTAGAATTCAGAGTGACAAGTCAATTTTCACACCAGTAATTATACTTACATATATATGTGTTTATTATACGTAGATGATGTTCTTGCATACACACAAGCACATTCATATGTATACAAGCCCAGACACCTATATATATATATATATATATATATATATATATATATATATATATATATAATTACTTATTTTATAAATATGTTATAACATCACTACAAAAATAGCCATTTTGTTTCAACACCTCCGGTGTCATATCAAGTGATGATGTTGAATGTAAAATAAATGGTTTTAAAAGTTTCAAATTAATTAACAATCCTTCGCAAGGGGAAAACGTTGTTACAAAAGCTAGAATGACCAATCAAAATACAAGTATAGGAAAATTCAAAAAGCTTGATAACGAAGTCATGTTATAATAGCTATATATCGTTAGTTAGTTTGATGTGAGTTTGGGTTTCACGCCCTTGCGATCGTTAGACAAACACTATGTCAGCTATCACAGACAATGTTAGCTCTATTGTCAGACAAACAAATATGTTGGCACTATCATTGATATTCAGCATTTTTCAATAAGTACCGGGCATATATAAATTGTAAATAATATATAAAAACATACATATATATATATGTATTTATATACATACATAGTATACATATATACATATATATGTACGTATATATATATACATACACACATTTGTATAAATATACACAGAGTGAGAGATGATTGACAGATAGATACACACATACACACACACACACACATATATATATATATATATATATATACATATATAGATAGATATAAATAAATATATATATATATATATATATATATATATATATATATATATATATATATATATATATATATATATCTATCTATATATATATATATATATATATATATATATATATATATATACAGATAGATAGATAGATAGATAGATAGATAGATAGATAGATAGATAAATAAATAAATAAATAAATCTTTCATTGAATACAGCCGACAGGGAAGATTGGATTAATTTTTTATTAAGTTTTTTCAGCATCCTTACATTTCTCCGTTTTGTAGGAGTTAATAAATATAAAAATTGTTCATAATTTTTATTATCCCAAACACTTTCGATCACTTCTATAGCCATTTTTCAGGGGTGTTCTCTCCTACCATCAACCCTACATTATTTAATAGTGGAAATGAAGTGTGGGAAGTTTTTTTAAAATAAAATATATAAACATGCTCACGCGAATTTCAGTCTTGCGCGGCAATATGTTAGCTTGGAATGAACGCTCCTTTTTCAAAAACAACACAAACATAATTTACAGCGTAATAGTCAAAATATAAGGAAGAAATAACAACACCAGAGACAAACAGCCTTGAAAATGGCTATGGAAGAGACCGAAAGCGTTTGGGACAATAAAAAATTGTCGGCAATTTTTATATTCTTTAAATCCTACAAAAAAGAAAAATGTTAGGATACTGGAAAAAATAAATAAAAATTACTACAATCTTTCTTGTCACCCGATTTCAATGAAAGTTGTTTGAAAGAAAGGTTGCTACTATATATATATATATATATATATATATATATATATATATATATATATATATATATATATATATATATAAAACAAAAACAGTAAAATTTAACTGTCGTCCGCTATTAAGTTTCATGTGGTCGTACATGTGGTTAATTTACTGTCACACAATGCTCGGGCGATAAAAAGCAATATAATACTCATAAAGTAGTAATATACACTGTTCTTCCCGCAGCTTATATATTCAAAAAATAATACTAATGATGGTGGTGGGTAGAGGGATTAAGAGAAGTCGTGGCCACCAAATTTGGTCAAGCATATCAGATAAAAGAATATTCACTCAGAGGCTCAGATGTAGCATAGGATTTAAAGAAATTGAACATAGATTAGACTGCGCAAGGAGTAGTTTCACCCATCAAGATAAAAATTGTTGATAGCCTGTTTGAAGTCCATGCTTTTATTCAAGTACTTTCGACTGTTTCAGTTTTTATCAAGAAACAGTGGCGGACTGGTCAGAGTGCGAGTTCACCCGATGGCAAGTAGGCTCCTGCTGGAGTGCCCCCACCCCGCCACTATATCAAATAAAAATTCAATAAATAAACACGTACAGATAACTTTTTTTTTAGCAATAAAAAGAATAATAACTTTAAAGTTATATGCACACTATCAGTTGCTTCAATGCGAGAGGACATTTTCAAAACTTAAAATTAAGGTTAAGAAATTCGCTATCGGAAGGGGCTTTGCAAACACATATATTGCTATCCATTGAAAATAAATTGTTAGGTGAACTGAATGCAGAAGTAATTATTGGTAGATTTGCACAATCATCTAGTGAACACAAACAATTGCTCTTAATATAGTGGACTGCATGCAATATTCTATTGTGCTTTTGAAGCAGCTGTTAATGTGTAAATTATGCAGTAAATTATTTAGAAATATCAACCAATTACTTAAAATTAAAAAAATAAAACTAATTCGATTGTAACATTCTGTATTTACATATGGTACCTACTGCCAGTAATATATACAGTACATGTACACTGCAATTACTAAGAAATAATCACATTTTTTCTACAAATAGTTTAATTGTAACCTTTTTCAATATGTATTTTTTGAAAATTGTATTAATTCATTAGGAAAATTAAATGATAGCATTTTAATTCTGTGTGGTTTATTTTAAGACCCAGTCTGCCACTGGGTGTTAGTGTTAATCCTGACATTTTTAGTGTGGTAATATTGTTCTCAGTCTAAAGGGATGTCATATGTAATGGTTAAACGGAAAAGAATGTAGCAAATATTTATAAATTTGTATGCGTGTTACATATTCTCTTTGCCTATCACTTACCGTATATACTCGCGTATCACAAAACCTAATTTTGAAACTTATATATCAATTTACTGTAGTGAAATTAGCTTCAAAAATAGGTCTTCAAAGGTCGCATGATACGCGAGTACATACGGCATATATAATATTGTATGCGTATCACATATTTTATACGCATATTAAATATTTTAAACACACTGTAAAAATTAATGTCCCCAAAAAGCATTGATTCGTCAAGCGAACTGAATGTAAAATTTTACACATAAGTCAAACCACGATTGGATGTAATGAACGCAAAACTCTGAGTAAGAACAAGATAAATGAACATTTAATTTATCTATCATCATATATATATATATATATATATATATATATATATATATATATATATATATAAAAAGAGATAGCGTGAGTAAAATAAGTGGTTAGGATCATTTAATAAGTGCTACTCTCCTGAGGCAAGCGAAGAGCATTATATTTTCGGCGAATCGAATTGTTGATATTGATGCCGTATAAATGCATATGCATTTGGCTTACTTAAAATAGACGGATATTCTAGAGCCCAAAATATATTTTCGAATGAATAAGTGGGCTTGAATTTTATTCCCTTTATAGCTTTGTCGTATAAAGTTTTCCGTTTATTCCTCCCTATTTTTCACTTTTGCTTCTAGCTTGTCTCAAAGAAATACTATCATACACATACTACGAATATTCTATAAGAAATGAAATACACACACACACACACACACACACATGCATACATGCATATATATATATATATATATATATATATATATATATATATATATATATATATATATATATATATATATATATATATAGAGAGAGAGAGAGAGAGAGAGAGAGAGAAAGTTGTAGCATCTGTATATCTGTTTGTTATCGAACTGCCCATAAGGTTTTGGTGATAGAACCACAAAACCAGATATATTCTGAAAGTAAATTATTCAGTACCTGGATAAGTATATTTAATTTTGATCAAAGTGGGCAATCAGTGGGCAGTGTCGTACAATATGTAGTTGTTGCGACAATTCAACTGTCCTAGCAATGTTGAAATCTGCTTGTCAATTCGTTCAATCAAGTATGGCCTCAAATACTTATCAAAGGTGAGAGATCAAGTTCTTTTTGCACAAATCCCACACTGAATTTAATTTCCCTTTGATTTAAATTAAATTTAAATTTGAAGAAGCCAATGATTCCAATCCAAAATATAGAAGAAGAAATCCAGAAGATGGCGGTCAAATCGGCAAGATCATTGAGTAGTAATGAAATGCATCATTTTCTCCACAAATTATAACAATGATATAAAATCAATCATCATTTTCTTACAAAAAATATGTTACACGCAGCAAGGCGCGGGTAATTCATATTATATATATATATATATATATATATATATATATATATATATATATATATATATATATTGCATCTATATCACAATTTATTTGCCTTTTAATATGCGATAAATATAGTCACAATTAATGTAAAAATACGTTTAATATTTGTTAAAATTTAAAGATTATTTAAAAATAAATAATCTATAAGTTTGAACATTGTGAATTATATGACATTTGAAATTTTTAATAATGATGAAATTATATATATATATATATATATATATATATATATATATATATATATGTATGTATGTATATATATATATATATATAAATGATAGGATGAATAATAAATGCGAAACGTTTATCAATCTAACATGTTTCATGTTTCCCTTTTATTAAAGTTTCCTCAGAGAATGAGTTACGAAGAAAAAATTTTCTGGTACTTTTATATTTGTGTTGTTTGATTTTCATTGGTTAATAAAGTTTGACGTCAGTATAATTTACTGCTTTGCGCACTCAAAGAGAGGCGACGTGTCTTTTCGAAGCTCCAAAAATTAACGGATTCCAAGCATAATTGAAAAAACGTAACAAAATGTAACATAATTCTAGTTTGTCTATATGGGATTCAGATGATAATATATGTTTGTAAATGTATGTATGTATGTGTGTGTGTGTCTGTGTGTCTCTGTGTGTGTGTATGTTTGCCGTTGTAGTAGTAGCAGTTGACATTATTTATGTTTGGTGGTTGTTCGCATATTTATTTGCGGATGTTTTTACGTAGATAAACATACGGTAGATTATTTAAGAATGGATTTAATAAAAGTTGGTGATGTTATATTGTTGTGGATTCCGGGATGGAATCCGGTATCAATAAATAACAAACGCCAAGAAGGAATCTAGGAAAATAGTGTATTAAAGTAATAATACAAACTGGTAAAGCAGGTTAGTAGTTCCAGGAATACGGGTTAGTAGCAAAATATATACAGCCTTTGGTATTGAAGTATCGCTGTATGACTTCTTACTGAGTCTACGTGCTCGCTCAATGTGACTCCTACAACGCTGTTACCACACCCTCACTCTTCTGGTTACCTATAACCTTTTACTCTGTTACTCTCGACTCGACTCGACTCGACTCCTTGGTCTTGCTCTCGTCTCTCGGGTCTTCACGTAGCCGTAGTATATGTATATACTGGGTGAGTCCATTTGTGTAAAAAGGGGAGAACCTCTCAACATATATAATGTTTTTGGCGCGTCTTTATAGTATTTAAAATATTTATCAGGATTCCCTCAAGGCGTTTTCGACTTCAAGAATTGCTTTTTTTTTTTCTTTTTTTGTTTTTTTTTTTTTTCTCATTAGGGCTGCATTTGTAAAATCAAAGTTATCGCCACTTTTGTTCCTGTGTGTTACGAGTAAGTTACGGGCTTTTAGATTCCGAGATGTCTCGCCGATGTAAGTATTTTTACATTGCAAGGGATTTATTTGATAAAAGATCTGCATTTGTCTTTGAGGTGGTAATAAAGAACCAAGTATTAGAGATAAATAATTTATTTTCAAATTTTGTTGGTAGAATGTTAGAAAGTACGTTTAGAAATGTTGCGTTGTTAATGTTAGATATGCTCTCTAAGTAAACCCCTAACGTCAACATCTTCGGTAAAATTTATTCTTTTAAAAAGCGATGATTAGAATTGTAATAAAATCTAAACATCTGATGAAAGTGAATTTAAACATTTTTTTTTTGTTCTTAACACTTTCACTGCTACACATTTGTCCAG